TAAAATCTAGTCCCGGTAACTAACACACTCTTCTATTAAGAGATCTGTCCAATTCTTTATGTTCACAACCTAAATTCAGTCCGTTTCAGGGTCCGTTTTATTTTGTTTCTCTTCACCTTTAGTTACTGGCCTTGACCGGCTGCCAGAAGTGTCCAAGCAACAGTGGCGGTAAGCAATAGCATGCCGCTCCTCTGCCTCTTTCGGCCTTTGATGTTTTACAAACTCATTTTTAGCTTCAGGGCTTCAATTCTATTCGTTGCTGTCAGTTTTATTTTTATACTATAATCCTCGGTTCTCCTCTTCTCCTGAGTAATTAGGTTATTCACAGTTAAATGTCCAGTAAAATGGCTCAAATATTCAGTCTGTGCTCGGTGGTCTCTTTCAAGAGGAAAAATTATGGGCCGCCGCCTCATTCCTTCCTCCAATGCTCACTCACAGCTCCAGAGGGCCTTTCCTGTGATCTCTTTTGTCACTCGGGACCCTTCAGACCAGATGATTTCGGCTGTTCCCGAAAGCTTTCCTTGAGAGCAGCTGAACGGCACCACGACAAAGCCCCGCCCCTGTGAACGCTTCTGAATGAGCATTGAGAAGCATGGTTCTGGTATCTTCAGGAGCAGCTTGCAGAGTGGGAAGTACTTTCACCCAAAGTCGTCTCTAATAGGCTCCCATTGCCGCTTGGTAATTGGATACTGTTATGGTCAGCCATACTATGCCATAGCATAACCTGTCCGTCACAGCTGGGAGGGAAAATCTCAGCCAATGAGAGGGCGGAGGGTGGTGCAGAGGCGGGAGGAGCTGCGATATATAAGATGTGTGTAAGGTGTGAGTAGATAGATAGGAGATAGCAGAGATGAGAGATGAGTGTCTGAGCTGCGAGTTAAAGTGATCTTAGTGTCAGTGAGAAAGAGTCTGTGAGAGCTAGTGCCTGAGAAACAGTGATTGATTGATTATTTCTTTAACAGTGATTTACCATTCCTTTCTTTTTTTGTATCCAATAAGCCAAGTTTTTATTTTTCAAAGTTATACTGGCCTTATGTTTGATTTATTTATTAAGGAATGGTTGGTGGCAGTAAAGTAGAGTAAAGGATTTTGGAGTGACGTGATGACCTCCCTTTGTGAGTCTTGAGGAAGGCTGTCACAGATACCCTTAGTAAGAAAGTAGCAAAGGAGTATAATTTGCAGACCAAGACATCATGTTTTCTCCCCTCTCGATTAGTAGGGGTAACGTTAGCTTTTCCTCCAAATCTGGACAGGTTAAACTGTACAATAACCGAGTTCGGTGCTGGGTGTTTGATCAGAAAATTTGTATCAGCACCATGCGTACGGTAGTGGTTTTCTATTCTACGAGTGACTTGCATGGAAGCTGTAGGTAAGGACCAAGATTCTTTGATGTGGTCCATCAAAGTAGGAATAAAGGCTAGGCTGAGAGGAGAAGACCTTTCCTGATTGATGTCATTGAACACCTGCTTAGGTGGCGGCAGCTGTTCCATGTTGAGCTGCAAGGACTTGGCCATTCTAGACACCATTTGAGCATAAGAGGAAAAATCTTCAGGAGAAGATGGGTGAAGATCTGTAGCATCCAACTCAGGAGTTCAGCTATCAATAGGGGAATCGTCTGACATCACAAGAGTCATTTTGCAAGGAAGGGGACAGTGAAGGTAGAGCACACTGCTTTTTATGTACCTGCTTGCGCACTGAATTTTTAGATGACCGCTGCACAACTACTGAGTTCGAGTGATTTTGTGGAACTGCTGGGGCAGGTCGGTCATCTTTTGCCTGAGAGTTCAACCAACGATGGGTGTCTTTATGTTTGCCATGATGTTTCAATGGCTTGGGTACAGCATGGTATGTTTCGTAGTATACTTGACAACAATGTCGAGGTGGAGACGGGGAGGAAGAAGACAAGGAAGAGGCATAAACATATCGTAGCCTCTTACAGGTATGTTCCTCGAGATCAGAATAGATCTCCTCTTCCTTCTCCCAACGTCGACGATGGTCCTGTTTTCGCTCAACCTCAACATATACGGGGTCCTCATGAGCAGATCTGTCTCGATGCCGAGACGAATGAGACAACAGAACGGCCTTTCGACGAGAAGACCAATGTCGATCAGGACAGATATATTTTCTTTTTGATGTCTTATTATGGTGTGGAGAGGTCTGCACACAAAGACTCAGAGCTGGAGAGGTGCATGATCATCGCCCATCCGGCAGAAGCAGGGCTTGAATGGGCAGAGGCTTGACTAGACCTGGTATCATCGTCTAGATAGCCTGGGCTCAGTGATCGGCATGGAGCCTGTCTGGGCGGGATCGATGGAGCTCCCTCTGAAAGAGACTCTCGATCTTGAGAAGAGTCCTTGAGGATTGGAGACGGTAGAGACGCTGAGACCGGTGGAATGACTCGGGGTCTATCAGTCTTGGACAAATGCTTGTCTTTTTTATTCTTATCCACTTTCTTCTTATGTGCGTTGACCAACGAAGCTTTGGACGCCGGGGTCGACGTAAAGGTGGAAGACTTTTTCGATGCTGTCCCCGGAGACTTTTTGGGCGCTTTTTCAGACAGTCTCGAGGATGGTAAAGCCTGATGAGTTGGAGTTGCGGCATCGGGATGGGGTGTAGAAGCCAGTGTTGTGGCGGACTCCATAGTGTCCGGTTTAGAAGACAATAAACTCTTGTCCCAAAGGAATAATTTTAACCTTTGTTGATGAGCTTTTAGAATTGGTTTTGTAATTTTTTTATACTCCTTACAAGACTGTGGCTTATGTCCCTCCTCTAAACAAAAAAAAGACAGCGATCATGTCCGTAAGAGAAAGTTAGTTTACGGGCGCACGAAACACACCTGCTGAAGGGGCCAGACTGGGACATAAGCAGTAGCTGTTAAAAGGGGGCAAAAAAGTGAGAGAAAAAACTTACAGCAGTAAGCCATGGTCAACACAGTCCGAGTCAAAATTCAACAATATCAATCCGATCAGAAAGATGAAACAAATCACCAGACAAACAAGGGATAGTCGAAAACAGTCCAAAATCAGCAATGTCAAAGCAACGGAATATCCAAAAAATGAAATTGCATACGGAGAAAAGTTTAACGATCCAAATCAAAACCATGCGCAACAGAGTAAGCGAATTTCCGAAAATCGCAGCCCAAAGTCAAAACCAGAAGATGAATCCAAATAGCAAAAAATCCAAGAGCTCTAACCGAGACGTTCCTAACACCAAGGTGGTAAAATTGAAATGAGGCATAGGGCGGGCGGAGCATGCGCTATACGGGCAACATTCAACTTTTGTTACTTTTAAAGCTCTAGCATATTCTGAAGAGTCAAGCGCAGGCGCAGACCGAAACCCATTTGTGTGCATTCACAGAGGCCACGAAGAAGAATTAAGTGTTTTAAAATGTTTTTAAATTGTTTTTAATCTTGGTTTTAACATTTATACATGTTTAATTATTTTTAACACGGTTTTTCTAACATTTAAAAAACTGTTGATTACTATACAGTTTTAATTGCTATAAATTGCCCTGGGTGTCCTATGAAGAGAAAGGCCGAATATAAATAAATACATAACAAATGAATAGCAAAGCAAAGAAAGAACATGGAGGTAAGAATCAAAGAAAGTAGGTGATTATTCCCTGCATGGTGATGACAGCTTTGATCCATATCTGTTGGGAGTGCAGAAGAGGCAAGTAAGTTAAGTTGTACAATCTGTGTATGGTAGTAATATTTCGGCATGTTGGTTGATCTATGGAAAAGTGAGGGGACTTTTCTATAACTCCTCCCTCAAAGCAAGACCTCCCAAATCCAATGGACAAGGTAGTATGCTGGGAGAGCCTGACTTATGGGATTACAATGAAAAAAAAATCACGAGTCGGTCTGTAATCTTTCTTTTTCTTCTTAGGTCCAGCTGCAAAAGTATCCTGGATCTAGTGTTTGAATTTAGGCTTTAATACAGATAAGGCTGCAATTCTGGATGTTCATGGGACTGGCCGCGTTGGAGTGGCCATACATATTTTGGTGAAGAAGTCAAAAACAATACAAATTTCCCATCCTTTT